AGACAATTAGGAAGAAGTCAGGTACGTGCACAGTCCCTGAGTGATTCCAGGTGTTATTTCATTAGTTCTTTATGGGAACAGTTCAAACATTAAGTACATATGCGGACTAGACTCTCTGTTCTTAATCTTTATTATTATCAATATTTGTAATGACCATCAAACAGATCCTAGAAAGGTTTGGAATTGTGCTGCATATAATTTTTTTTCATTTTAGACATAATTCTAAAGATTCTTAATCTCATCCATTGATTTTTTTTAGTAGTCCCAAGTTTTAAAGACCTTAATTAAGAGCCCAGGGTAGCCCCTGTGGCTCAAAGGAGTAGGGTGCTGGCCCCATATGCTGGAGGTGGTGGGTTCAAATCCAGCCCCGGCTAAAAACTGAAAAAAAATAAAATAAAAAGCCCTGTGTACACCCCACAGTGCCCACCGGGACCCCAGACCACAGCTTCTCACAGGTCCCTCAGGCCACTCCTCAAAGCAGGGAAGGAGCTGGAGGAAGCTCACAGGCTCACACCTCATCTCCCTATGGGACCCCACACAGTGCAGTTATCAGGCTGCTGTCCTCTGCTGAATAGTGACAATCAGCATCTTTGTCTTTGTGCGGCAGATCGGAGATGATCAGAGAAGCCACACTGCCTGACCTTGAGCCAGGGAGTCTCTTTGAGATCTCTGAGGGTCAGGTATCCCTGAGGGTCTGGAGTTTGAGGACATGGCCCAGGGGCTGCTGGTGCCAAGCTGTGCCCTGGTTGACAACCTCCTGCTGTTTCCAGTGCAGGTGATTGTGACTGTCTGTCCTGGGGACTTGCTCACTGATGGTGGCTGAGCCAACCCTGCCTGGGCCACAGACACAGGAGGGTAGGGAGACAGAGAGGACAGTGTGCCCAGTGATAGGGGAGGGAGCAGAGGCGAGTTGAGGCCTTCATGGACTCTCCCACCCAGGCCAGGTGGCCCTGACCTGTGCAGAGAGTGGGGAGGACAAACAGGGCAAGGCCCAGTCCTGAGAAGGTGCTCACAGGATCTGAATCCCTAGACTCCTGAAGGGGCTGTGGGTTCTCCTAATTCTTCAGCCTCTACAAGTCCCCCTTGGGGAGAATTTCCTACATTCAAACCTGCCCCTACACCCTGACCCCCTCTATCACCTCCAACTCCAGGATCACTCTCCATTGCCTTGAAGAGGAAGATGAGGATTCTCTTGGACCAGGCTTCGTGGGTAAGACGGCCTCACTCTTAATGGCCTAGAGGTCCCAGGGGATCCTGACAGCCACTTCCCATCACAGCTCAGGGGAGTCACTGATGCTCAGCTCCCCGCCAAGCTCCTGAGGGCTCCCAGCTGGCAGGGCCAGACACCCTCACCCTGATAACTCCACAGCGCCCCTGCTGGCCCCATGGCCCCTGACATCACCAAGGCACAGACCTGCTGAGTCCCCTGAGGACTGCAGAGGTGTGTCCTTGGTTGTGCTGTTTAGCTCCCCAGGTGCAGGTGCTCAGGGTGGAGCTTGGGGACACCAGTGGGGCTTTGACTGGACACTGCGGGAGCCACATGGTGAGTAGATAGCAGGGCTGTGAGTAGAGACCGCAGAGGCCACATGGTGGGCAGAGGGCAAGCTCATTGTTCTCATTTACACTTAATTTTACACAAAAGTAAGGTTTACAGTCTTCATCTGCACCCAGTGCATTTGTTTATAACAGTAAGGTGTTTGCAAACCGTGGGCTTTGTTCAGGGAGACATTTTGTGTTTATTTTATGTTTAAAATAGTTGCCTGTTTTCCAGTCTAGATGTTACCCCTCC